TCCTTCCTTCATTCCTTCCTTCATTCCTTCCTTGCTTCCCTTCCTTCCTTCCTTCCTTCCTTCCTTCCTTCCTTCCTTCCTTCCTTCCTTCCTTCCTTCCTTCCTTCCTTCCTTCCTTCCTTCCAACACATCTCCGTCGACCACTCAGTCTCGCTCCCCCGCGGCGAGTGCAACTAAACGAGAACCCAAGCATCGGAGATGCTTTTGGGAAAAACTATCAGAAACCTTATATAATCCTTATATACCAAAGCTGCCGGCTGTGCTCACTTTGAGCATCTGTGAGCCATGCCACCGGATCCGGCAAAATCCATGAAGCCGACTGAATCGAAAATGGTGCTAATCCAGCCATAACCTGAAGGCTACGTGTTCCACCACCAGTGCAAGGGATTGTAAAGTGCTTAAACCACTGAGGCGATCAATGGTAGGTGATGGAAGAACAAAGGAAACAACACACAAACATAGAAAACGACATAAAACGACGATAAAACATTCAGCAAACACCCAAAGAAACGACATGAACCATGAAACGACGAAAGGATGAACAGTTTTGAAAAGGATACAGTACCCGCTTATCCCTACCTCGCCACAGCCAAGGCACCCCAGGTCCAAGCAACAATCACTGGGTAGATGAAGCTTGTCCTCAATGTTTCCATATGTTTCCACATGTTTCCACACTGGACTATACTAGACTCACTTCCCAAACAAGTTGATATAGCATCCCATTTCTTTGCTATAATTGCTTAACTGGTTTCTTGGGTGCTACTGTCAGTACATGCATCCACAGGCACACACACACTGTGGGGTAATGGTGGGTGGAACGTTTTAATGATGTCATAGGTTTCGCCTGCTTTCCTGGGTTACCTGGCAGTAGTGTTGCAGCGGACACGGAATCGCGATCGAAGAAACAACGTACAGCTCATGAACAGAAACAGAAGGTCAACAGTTTAAACCATAGCAGGTACGTAGGTCAGGCGTCGCTGACCTATATCCTTACCACATGTCACCCAGCTTCGTTGGCAGAGGAAGTGACATGGGCACCTCTGCCCCCTGCTTTTTGAGAATTGTACAAGCGCAATAAACAGAACTAAAACCGTTTGTTATAACGGTGTACACACACACAATGGCCCCGAAATGGGGCAAAACCGCAAACCGCCTAGTTTTTACCTAAGAAAACTGACCTAAAGAGCCTGCCTAAGAGAATGAATACCTGGCCTAAAAGAACCTGATGACGATGACGAGCGATGTGAAAAGCAAAAAGTTAAACCGTGTTCTATAAGTCGTAAATCCTAACATTAAAGAAACTGCGTATGCAAATGCTGTACGCTTGAGTTCAAAATGAAAACGATGCACAGGACTGTACGATAAAGCCTTTCAGCCAAGACCTCATTTGTAATTCCATCTCATCGTCAAGAATAAATAATCGCACAGGTACATTGGCAAATGGAGATTCTGAGTTCCGGAACTGCAGAATGAGCTTGAGTTGTTGCTGAGCTCTTGACCGAACAGGTTCCGACAAGTTTCGGCTCAATCTGCATAACAAAATCCCCTGCTTCGTCAAAACATGATTGATTCATCAAAACTAAACCGTTTGCTATAACGGTTTACACATACACAATGGCCCCGAAATGGGGCAAACCGCAGAAAAACTTATTATTGCCTGGTGAATCTGAAAATCTCCTGATGAGCTCTATTGTCAACATGGGATAAACCTGGAAAGAATTGTACTCTCTCATTAGTGCAACAGCCGAACAAAAAATAGGCGCCCACCCATTGTGAGCCCATAGACGCACCACGATGTTGACGAAAAACTTGGGTCCCGACGTGGAAGAACGAGTTCTGAAGTAAGAATTTTAACAAATCTGAAATCCAAGCCCCACGCGTAATGTCGAAAAATCCACTCAGGTACTGAATTGCGAATCTGCTGTACAGTCTGTACTGGAGTAGCTTTACAGGGAATAAATACCTTGTCATCCAAAAATGTCCGAATCAGCAACTCATGCCATTGACAAGGACGATAAAGCCTTTCAACCAAGACCTCATTTGTGATTCCATCATTTGCGATTCCATCTCATCGTCAAGAATGAGTAATCGCACAAGTACATTGGCAAGTGGAAAATCTGAGTTCCGGAACTGCAGTTGTTGCTGAGCTCTTGACCAGAAAGGTCCCGACAAGTTTCGACTCAATATGCATAACAAGAATATGTAGTCATGATCAGCTTGAGATGATCGCAATAATTTCGAACATTCAAATTTCATCTCCAGTCCAGTGTAATCGCATATGCACAACATTTATTTGCGACCACCACTCAAAAATCCAGTTCTGAGGCAGGTGCAAAAAATGAATGAAAATGCTAAGGGTCCGACGTTGAGTCTAATTATAAGCAAGCAACAGCAATGAAGTAGCTGTCCATTGACTCAAAATCCACATCAAAAATTGTTGGAGATTCCAAGGTAAATTGTTCGAAAATTGGAGGAGGCATGCAATCCACTGACATCCGTTCAGTAACAGTCGTCTACAGTAGGACCGAGCAGATTTCGAAAACGTTCTGGATTCATGAAATGCGCACAGCTGCACATCTGAATTGACAGGGCCTACACTGTTTTGGTCAAAACTAGTCACTGATTCTTAACATGCTGAAGTGCAGCCAGAAAACGAATCTGATTTTCAAAGGAAGCTTTGCTCAAAATTTGACTGCCTCCAAATTAGGTTGATCACCCACCCCACAGGCTTTGTGTTCATCAATCATGTGGCGAGACAATGTTTCAACCTAAATCACATTGACTGGGTCCCGGACCAGTTGAGTGTCCGACTGTGAACGAAGTCCCCGCACTAAAAACGCAGGGTTCCGGACCAGAAGTATCCGTTTGTGGCCCCCGACATGGTTGATACACATACAAGCATGAACATTGTGAGTTCATATTGTCATCATCATTTGTAGAAAATTCCACATGTTTTGTTACTGTTGCATCTCAGCCTGTCGTTCATCATCGAAAATCTGACCAATGATAGGAGCTAAATGATCGGCAGTAGCAGCTTCTATGCGATAGTGTCAAAGTCGTCCAACAATGTTCAGCGAAACCCCAAGGTTTTTTGGAAACGATGATGATCCACTCACTTGAATATTCTGAACGTGTGCAACAAGATGATAAAAGGAGGAGGAAGTAATGGTGCAGATCGAGCAGGGATCTGTCCAGTAGAAAAACTTCAGAAAATGGCAAAGGTGGATCACGACTCTAGGGAAACATGGCTCGAAATCATCAAAACTGTCACCAACGTGAATCAAAGATTGAAAGTACCCTTGTATGTTGAAACACAAGAGATCCAAGAGATTCACTTAATACACATTTGGATTGCTGAGGGTCAGACCAAAAAGCACTTGTATTGCACCCGTGGTGCTGAGAACTTCGACTTATGTCTGCTTTGTCCTAATTGGACGAAACTTCTGCCTTATGGCTTCTTCGCCTTATGGCTGCTTCGATTGGATTTTACGGTGTAAAATCTTGACTTCGTCATATGACGCTTGAAATGCACTCGAAGTGCATACGGCTTCGGAGATTTATACTCCACTCTGAATACGGGAAAATGCCCGCTCATAACTTTTTGATTGGTCGAAACCAACCGACGGTGCGACCAATTGAGGTGAAAAAACCCGTAACACACTGTGGGGTAATGGTGAGTGGAACGTTTTAATGATGTCATAGGTTTCGCCTGCTTTCCTGGGTTACCTGGCAGTAGTGTTGCAGCGGACACGGAATCGCGATCGAAGAAACAACGTACAGCTCATGAACAGAAACAGAAGGTCAACAGTTTAAACCATAGCAGGTACATAGGTCAGGCGTCCCTGACCTATATCCTTACCACATGTCACCCAGCTTCGTTGGCAGAGGAAGTGACATGGGCACCTCTGCCCCCTGCTTTTTGAGAATTGTACAAGCGCAATAAACAGAACTAAAACCGTTTGTTATAACAGTGTACACACACACACGCATACTCGCAACTGCACTTGATACTATGTAGACATGTGTAGACTCTAGTCTAGTGCTTGATGGAATCTTCTGTGCAAACTACTCGAACGATACCTATCAAACAATCCATATATATATCCGAGAATCATGAAGAAGGCGTAGGCTGCGTAGGTTGGGCTCTTTACACGTTCTGCAACACCACCACTGACAATGGTGGCACCTGAATAAGGTAAAACTAGCATAAAATAGCAAGCTCTGTCATGTGATCGCTTGAAAAGGGGAACAAATCTGCCAGTACAAGCCTGGGACGAAACTATTTGTTCAGGAACGACCTATACACACATGACTAGCACTATTTCCTGCCTGCGGTGCAGAAGGCCCATTGGAAGAACCAGGAGAGCATCTTGCCTGATCCAGACTCAATGTTCTTTTGAGGGATATATATAACATGATATAACATGATATAGCAACAAATAGAACGCAGTTTTTTCCATTCACGATCCTCCAAACGGATGCCTTGAACTCTTTTCAAAATCTAACAGCACATTTAGACTACGCACACATAAGTATGTTTTCCATATATATATATAATTATATATATATATATCCACAAAGGGTCAGCAAACCGAACAAAATGAACAAATAGACTTCTCATGATCTCTCATGCGCTTGTTCATGCAAAATGGATTGAAATTTGGCTTAAAATGTGATGGAAGAGGCCAGAAACCACATGACCAATCATTCCTTAGTTACAAAATGTTAATACATGTTACAAACCCTTTAAGCTTACATAATTGTAAACATGGGTTCGCAACTAGGAGCGGGGTTTGCAAACGAGGCCTGCCGTTTCACAGCCAAGCTTTCTGACTGGCATCTTTCAGGTTCAGATACTATTTTCATATTTTGATATATTTTGACTCATTTTGTTGTAACATGTTGCAAAACGTCGTAAAATACATACTTTCCAAGACCAAATCATCTCTTTGACAACCATGGTTTATAGTTTATAGTTGCTCAACACTCTTGCGAGATTGTCCCCACCAGTGTATGTTGAAAAAACATACTGGAATTCTACGTAAAAAATGATGTGTGATTCAGCAAAAGAAACAACTACAGGAGACTGGGCGACATTTTCTTTGTAAACATGGCCATCATTTTCATATATTTTCATCGTTTGCAAAATTTGCTGATTGCACGGTCAATGGTCATATGCGGTCACTCTATTCGCGCATATTTGCACGCAAATGTCAACAGAGACTGCCCAATCCACACGCTGAGCTGCTCTGGCAGCCCTCAACGTCGCAAGATGCAACAGGTGTGATAGCTCCTTTTCAAGGCATGCAGCATTTAATCAACGAGCAGAAAACGGCAGAAATGAAGCACATGCAGAGATTTGAAGATATGCCGGTATCATTTTGGTACTTTTTGATCTTTGATGCACTTGATCTGGCATAGTGCATGAAAACCGCAGCAGCAAAACACGAGCGTGCCACATGTGGCGAACAAACTGCAGGCATTAGGGAGCCGATGGAATCGAGTGAGTCCTGTGCTACCATCTCTCGTGTAGAAGTCCCAGCCAAAGAAGCCACTTGCCCCAATGAAACCATTGCCACCGGCTGATTTCGCCTGCCAGGCCAGAAGCGGCACTGCCCCTTTCAAGGTATGGATGCCATCGAAAGAATCCAGGGACCACATACAAATATCATGGAGGCTATCAAGGCTCTGTACACACACACACACATATATATAAGTATACATACACGTATACATACATTACATTTCATTGCATTGCATTACATTGCATTACATTACAATACATTACATGCATGCATACATACATTACCATTACCATTGACATTAACATTACCCTTGACATTAACATTAACATTTATTTACATTACATAATACATTACATACTAATATGATATATATATATAAATAATTATATATGATTGTATATGATTATATATTATGTGCATATATATATATATATATGCAGAACGGCCCCTCATGGGGTAGTGATTTTTGCTCTAAACATGGTCAAACCTACCGGTATTTACAGTGTTTTGTGACAAAGGTAAGCTTAGAATTGTGATTTTAGAGCAAAAAATGGAGTTCACCTCAAAAGGCTATCATATGCTTTCATAAATCACTGGCATCTACAGGTGACTCTACAAACAATCAACACATAACAGAAAACATCTGCTGCACAGCATGCCATAAGAACGGGTAGCTGCGCATCTTGGAACAGAATATACAGTAGCAATGTGGCTAGTGTGATAGAGGTGATGGGGAAATTCTATTGCTAGACGCAATTGATATGATGTACAGTAGCTGTTTCTTCATGAACTTGTTAGATTGATATCATCTCAACATACATTGTATATAGAAGCATTTGCGCTGCATAAGAAGTATAGTGGGACGGGCATACATTATGTAGGTGGATATACACAAGCACATCTAACACTCTGGATAAGAAGGATGGTGGGAATGTTACAACTCAAGAAGTAGGTGCATATCTTATCTTGTTTATTCGTGTTATCTTGCAGAGTCTTGTCAGCAGTCTCATTTCAATCGTTAGAAAGAGAGAGAGAGAGAGGGAGAGAAAGCCAGAGAGACAGAGAAGTGCGTAATGAGTGTATCTAATGCTGTTGACTATTAAGATCAGGCAACCTGTGTGGTGGCATATCTATGCAAAGATAATGGTATGTTTGCTTCTTTGAAACATCAGTTTAAAACATGGCCAATATCCAAACATACACAATCTAGCCTGCACCCAAGGGGCAGTTGCAGTTATTATTGTCAAACATAACTATCAAAAAACTATTATATAACATATAAAATTTATCAACAAATAAAATACTCGTTATAACGGAAGAAGTTGGACACATTTCCTGTTTGCCATCCTGTATCTTTTCTTGTAGAGCCTTGTCGGCAGATTCATTGTAAAAAGAAGCTGCACTCATTATTGAGCTGGCTTTTGAAATCCAAACATGTATGATCTAGCCTGCAGTCAAGAGACAGCCGCTATTGAAATTCATCAAGGCGATATTAGCAATAGATGAAGTAACAATGACAGAAGGTTTGATGAAATGTTAGCTGTGTTTCTTAATTGTTTTTGCTGCTTGTCAATGTTTTGTGAAGTCAGAGTCACCAAACCTGCACAGGCACCCCCCAAAAAAAATAAACCACTAGATGCACCAAACCTGCACGGGCACCAAAAAAAACACAAAAAAACAAAGTTTCCAACAACTACTCAGAAGTGGACCCATAGTTCCTGGATTTTTTTTGATTTGTTTGGTAATAAGAACTGTTCAGAAAAGTAATACATAAAGTAAGATAAATTAGGTTTGAACTGTTCAGAAAAGTTGGTCCGACAGAATTGGATAGGCACAACTGCATGATCCGTCGCCAGGGCCTCGTCACCATATGCGAAAGCCCAGCCAAAGGCCCACCAACCCAAAGTACCGACGCAAACCTCGTGGTTTCGTATGTTTCATGTGTCGACACTGTGCGGTGTTCAATGCGGTCAAGACATGTGTAGACAGTGTAGACCAGTTTCCGCATCAAAGAAAAGACTTTGGCAGTGGGAGTTTCTCGACTTGGCGCATGGCTCGCTAGATGAATAAACAAGCAAACGACCAATAATATCCAATAATGATGCTAATGAGATACAGCAAGGTAAATAAGAGTGTTTGTTGCGGCGAGTTCAGTCAAGCGGCATTAACCAAATTCTTCATGAGGACATTGGACGCATTCCTTTCAGGCTGTTCAATTTGGCAAATCCGCACTTCTATGCGCATCTGCATTGCCATGGCTTTTTAACCCCTCGGCAACGCAATCTGCACTAGGAAATCTCGAGGCCACAACAAACGCACTTTACTAGTCATGAGCAACTGGCCTCTTCTTTTGCCCGAAGCTTCTAGCCTAGACATACAGTCTGTACATACAGTTCAGAACTGTTCAGAATCTGTTATGCCTACTCTGGATTGATCCTCTCTGGGCAAGATTCTTTGCGCGGCAGCTTCCGGTCTCCAACATAGCGAACCCGGCATGCATGAACCTGGGAGGGACAAAGCAACATCGAACATCAAGCAACTAGTCTCTCTCCCTCCGTCGCCATCAGTGAATCAGGTCACCCCTGCCCGAGCCAGGCTAGAGGGGGAGACGGAAGCAAGCGCGTTGAAAACAAGAGACCATCTACATCCGTACGAGAAGCAAACGTAACAAATAAAGGGGATTTTTCTGATTGCTTGAGACCTATTGCATCCTATTGCTGCACTCAGCTAATTCTGTACCACTAGTCACTAGGACGCAACCAAGGGGCATGACCAGGGCACCACAAAGGCAGAGCCAAGCTGAATCGAGGGCTCCAGTGAAACTATAGTACTTTTCCAGAAGAGGTGTGACTGCCTCAAAAACAATTTTGAAGCATTCCCATGACATCCACGACTTATCGGGACACCAGAAACACAAAGGGCATCAAAAGGCCGCAAAGTCGTGACAATGTCAATTTTTATCATTCATGAAAACAAGTCAAAATATTGACGGCCTAGTGACAACAATCACACCAAGGATTAATTGTTTCATATTGCTTCCAAACAAATTCCGAAGACTACAAGTCTTTGGCACCACAAAAAAATCTGTCAAATGCTTCACGCCAAGTTGCTGTATCGAACGCACTCTTTGTCACATAAGTGGATTGCAGTCGCCGGGACTTGTCGAAGCTGTCCATGTTGAGTGTATTGGTCTGGCACAGAACAGCCAAGCTCTGACGGATTCAGATGCATTATATAGTAGGTTTCGGCCAGGTTGCCATCATTGCTACTGCCACGAAACTGCAGTCAAATCAAGTCAACCTATGAAGGTACAGTGTACAGGTAATGACAAAAATTACTTTACTTCGTGTGATCCCCACCATGACATTTATACATTTTCTTACTGGCAAATCTTCTGGCATTCTATCTGACATATCTTCTGGCATTCTATCTGGCATATCTTCTGGCATATTATCTACTCAAATCTTCTGGCATTCTATCTGGCAAACATTCTGGCACTTTATCTGGCATATCTTCTGGCATTCTATCTGGCATATCTTCTAACATTCTATTTGGCATATCTTCTGGCACTCTATCTGGCATATCTTCTGGCATTCTATCTGGCCGTTGAGGTCCAGCGGTGCACATTGAGCTGGGAAGGTCCCCGGTTGAGGTCCAGCAGTGCACACTGAGCTCGGAAGGTCCCAGGTTGAGGTCCAGCGGTGCACACTGAGCTGGGAAGTTGGCAAAGAGCTTGGCCAAGAGTTGGCAAGGCGGAAGTTGAGGTGGAAGTTGATGCAGACATGGTCGAGGAGAAACAGGCGGAGGAGAAGGAGGAGGAGGACAAGGAGGAGGACGAGGAGGAGGAGGAGGATAGCTAGCCGAGGAGGAGGAGGAGAAGAACAACTGTGATAAAATCTAACAACCCTCACCTGGCAGGTGGGGAATCATGAAATCAGCAGGCAAATGCATATGTCCGATTAACAGCCTTTCATAATATGGCGGGCACATATTTCCCTCACAATTCACAACCAAACCTACAAGGGGTACATTGTTTGTAAATATTCTGTTGTTTTTCGAATGAATATCATTCTCTTTCAGCATGTAGCATGGGACAAGGTAGCGACCCTTCCGTTCAATAAAGTGCAGGGTCCTGCAGATTCCTTTGCAACACTTCAAACACTGATGGTAAATGGCCAATTTTGGTGCAAACTTCAATTGTCAATAGACCGGAACGTGCATCCAATAGCCAATAGTTTTTTGCCACACATATGTGTATTACATGTTTGGTGCGCCCATCAGCAATAGCCACCACATCCACACTTAGCGTGCACTCCTCAAGCATCTTCTTCTGATCTGCCAATGCCAGTTGCATCGCGTTCACCTCCTGCATTGAAAAACTTCAAGTTCCTTGATTCTACCAGTAGTACCGCACAAGGC